ATCCAAGCCGTGAGCAGCCAGCTTCTCCAGGAGAATGCTGTGGGAGACAGTGTCAAAGGCCTTACTAAAGTCCAAGTAGACACCATCCACAGCCTTCCCCTCATCCACTAAGTGGGTCATTTTGTCATAGAAGGAGACCAGGTCAGTGAAACAGGATCTCCCTTTCATAAACCCATGCTGGCTGGGCCTGATCCCCTGGTTGTCCCGCACTTGCTGCATAATGGCACTCAAGATGACCTGCTCCATGACCTTCCCCGGCACTGAGGTCAGGCTGACAGGCCTGTAGTTCCCGGGATCCTCCTTCCGACCCTTCTTGTAGAGGGGCGTCACGTTTGCTAGTTTCCAGTTATCCGAGACCTCCCTGGTTGACCAGGACTGCTGATAAATAATGGAGAGTGGCTTGGCCAGCTCCTCTGCCAGCTCCCTCATTATCCTCAGGTGGATCCCATCTGGCCCACTAAACCATGTCCCTAAGCGCCACATCTCCCCGGCTTTTAAATACCTCCAGGGATGGGGACTCAGCCCCTGCCCTGGGCAGCCTGGGCCAGGGCCTGACAGCCCTTTCCGTGAAGAAGTTTTTCCTAATATCCAACCTAACCCTGCCCTGGCGCAGCTTGAGGCCGTTCCCTCTCATCCCATCACTTGTTCCTGGGGAGAAGAGACCGACCCCCCCCCGGCTCCAGCCTCCTTTCAGGCAGTTGCAGAGAGCGATGAGGGCTCCCCTCAGCCTCCTCTTCTCCAGGCTGAGCACCCCCAGCTCCCTCAGCCGCTCCTCGTAAGACTTCTGAGAAGGTGAAGGGACTGCAGAAAGAGGAAGACCAGTAACAACTCGTCACTTCTTCCTGATGGAAAGAGAAGGCCAGAACTGTTTTTTCTACCTCACACACTGATCCTAGCTATAAGGTAGGTATCATCTTTCCAGCCTGTTTTTTTCCCCCTATAAATTTGGTCCTGTTTGTATGAGGAACCCAACAGATGCATGGAGAGCTGGCACAGCTGGAGGACCAAAAATACCTGGAGTGAACTTGAACAGCACGAAGGGAGATGACAGTTCATTATACCAGGGCTAAATGAGTTGACCGTGAACAGGTTGTAAATCCGTGGCGGAGCCAGGGCTACCTCTCTCTCTGGCTGAAACCTGACCTATGTCTCTACAGGACTAAGCCACTCGTAGCTGTTTGGGGCTGCTGCTAAGCACTCTGCATGGCCAGCAACACTTGCTCTAGGCATTGGCTTTTGCTAAATGCAGATCGGTTTGAATTCGCACCAAAGAAAAAGAGAAACAACTTACAAAGCCAAGGCATCATCTTCAAAATACATCCCTGTTGTAACATGGCCAGTTAAGATGTTTCCTGCCTCTTCGAAAGCTTTCCTGGCTGTAAAAAAGCCAAAGATACAAAAATAAACAACAGAAAGAGAAGTGTCAGCTTCCTCCTGGAAACCAAATGGCTCTCTGCATACAGAACACCCTCCCACAGCACATTGTCAGCTGGGAACAAAACTACGATTAGAGGCTCATGAGAAATGGATGCGTCTCATGGCCGCAGGCTACGGGAGGAGGAGTTGGCAGCGGCCAAAAGGATCAGAAGGAAAGTTCCTATTATGAGAACAGTATTTGCTCTTTAGCCACCAGCACTGCGTTTCCAGGATCTGCATGACAGAGGCACTGACGGAAAATGAAATGTCTTTAAGGACTTAAAGTCCATAGGTGTTCTTAGAAACAGGAGATAAATTGTAATTTTAAATAGAAATCTTATAAATCGCAGTGACCTTTTGGAAATGACTGAAGATGACTTAACTGGAGTACTGCTAAATGCCCAGCAGATAAAGCAACCTCTCCCCCAAGCGTCTTTTGGTTTTATCCAGTTTCTCAGAGCAGGCAGGGTCTGTTACAGGCATCCAGCAAGGACAGGGAGGCTCAAAAAGCTAAATGCCTTGCAGAAACAGCGAGCTCCACCGCTTTGTGCAGCTGCAAAGAGAGGGCAGCACCTCCGCCGTCGCAGCTCGGCATAAACCCACGTGCAGTGGCTGCACCACTCGCCTTACCGAGCCAGCGAGGGCAGGCAGAGGTGGAGAGGAAAGGACTGGCTTGGGGCTCTCTTGATCCATCACAGCTGAATTTATCCGTGCTGAGAGACTGACAGCAGAACCCCAAAATGAAGCTGACTCCAGAGCTGGTTTGTGCCTTTATAAAACATCCTCGGTTTTAGGCAGCTGGATCCATGGGAGAGGCAAGCTTTGTGAGAATGTGCAAGCCATAGTGCGCGGGCTTGTAAAATCCAGTTAGAGATCAGAGATCAAAACTGCTGCCGCCAAAGGTAGGGTGAAAATGGGGTGGATTTCAACACCACCACCACCCCCCCCGCTTTGTATTGAGCAATCGAAAGTAAATGAGAAATCACACTCTTTGGAGAAGTCAGGTTTTCCCAAGAGTTAAGGTTACATCTCGGAAACAGCCATGATATATGTTGCTTTAAAACTTGAATAAGACCTCATTCAGATACTATTTAGTGCTCCTCATAACATTCACCGTCATATCACAACTGGCCAGCCCAAGCTCTTGGGACCGGTGACTCAGACCTCAATAGACGGAGGCTGGCTCACAACTGGTCACTTTTTGGTTCCTTGCCTCCTGCTTTCCAGCTACACTCAAAGCTGTATTTTCCATTGTGTTGCCCTGGAACCACGGGGACCACAAACTTTCCTTTATTTTCCTTGCCAAATGGAAGCTTAGATCCTTAAAGGAGTGGCTCATTGAGGCTTCAGACATTGTAGGAAACAACACACATACAACAAAGCTGGTGACACAGCTTGGCTGGTTCATCTTGTGATATAGAGAAACCACCTTTGGATGGGTTTGACGTTGGTTGGCAGCTCTTTGGTCACTCGATTTTAATAGTGTCGAAAGAAAAGCAACCTGTAGGACCAGCTGATGAGGATCACGGAGAACTTCACCAACAAACCCCTTGTGAATTGTCCGTGTCCCAGCTACTGAAGAAAAGGCCATGGGGCAGACCATCAGCCTGCCCTGTGCCACCAGGCACTAAAGGACACAGCCTGGCATGGAAAGAGCAGGCCTACATCCAAACTTCCTCAGGAGAGCACTTCTACAGGCATTTAACTTTAAAGGCTCACTTGAGACGTAAGCCCGTGTTGAAGCGCTGCCCTGCAGCATCCCTGGCTGCAGGAATTCTCTCCTAAATCACAACAACCTTCAGCAGAGTCCAGGCTTACTCCTTTCGTCAGGGTCATTCCTGATGAGATCTTCCCTCCCTATCACACTTCCAGATTTTTCCATACTTTGGGGACTGTTCCAGACCCAGAGCCAAGCACCAGCCTTCATTTCTCAACACCTCACAGCGATGGTCTCTTAGCTCTGTGCAAGAAACCCCCAAATTCACACAGCTCCACTACAGCCACGAAGCACTTCTGAAGATGCTATTTAAATATTTTCTAGTGAATTAGTTCCCCCTGAGAGCATGGTTTTAATTCCCCACAGGGCCCGATCATGCACTGCAGCACATGCCTCGAGCTGGAATCCCAGCCGCCTTCCACGACAGTGGCCAGGAATTGCAGAAGCGCAGCTTCGCTGCAGCGTTTGGGAACAAGAAGGAATAAATCTGCCAGATGAGGAAGGGCCTACAGCTCCTGTAGAGTTTTCAGAGGCAGGATCTGCGCACAACCCCTTATCCCTCTAGCAGAAGGCATCTCATGAAACCATGCTCTCCGGCAGCACCTGTAGCATCTTTGCACGCCTTCTTCACTGGGTTTACACCAATGTTCGCAAGCCCTACGATGTTACCAGAGCTTAGCAGAACACAGGTATATTTTTAAACATTTGCTGCATGGTTTAGGACAGAGTGTTGCTTCCAAGTATGCTTCCAGTTTCTGCATAGCAAACAATTTTCTCTCCTATAAATTCTTCAAGTTTCCAGGAAAATGCTCGTTCATTGCTCTACTAATGCCATTCACTTCTTTGCAATAAATCTTAATTACCATTTTTCTGACAAGCCTCTTTTAGCTCAGACCCACTGAAGGGCTTCTTAATGCAGTTCTGAAGCAAAGCGTTGGAAAAAATCCAGGGCTTTATTTAACTGGACATCTCGCTGCTCTGTTTCAGTTAACTAGAAATGGCAATGACACAGCGCGTTGCTGGTTCAGGTTAGAACAGGAATTCTTGCCGTGAGAAAATCATTGGAAATTCCAGATAAGTCTGCAGGCTGATAAGAGCAGCAATGTGGTTTCCCTGGCTCTGGCCTGGGTTTGGTGCCAGAACAACTGGCTCGTTTTCTGCTCCCTCGGGTCGCTCTACCTGACGCTGGACCACCCCTCAGGCTACAGGCGGTGAGAGCACCCCGTACCTCATCTCCCTCGGCATCTGCGGCTGAGTTACCCCAGGCTGCGGATGCCGTTCCAGACGGCAGACTGAGTGTGCCCCGAGGGAAGAGGCAATCTTGCGGGCTCCGCACCCAGCTGTCTGGCAACCTCCAAGACTCTTGTTTGCACGGAAGGAAATTAGCTTCTCCTACAGAGGAAAGAGTCTGAGCTCACGCGTCCAGGGGATCCAGGCAGGTTCCTTCCATGAACCCCTCTCACCGTCCCCGTGTTGCCCGAGGTCCTCTCATGGGGCTTAATCCAGGCTCCACCACTGCAGAGAGTGGAAGATGTGGAATAGAGGGGAGATTTTGGAGCTCAGCTGATGAAAACCAGGCAGAAATGGGCTAAAGGTTTTTTGAGATCAAGATTTTCTGCTATATTTAACAGACCTAGACCCTCCAGAAGAAGGCAGGCATATTAGCTGTCAGCTGGCTCGGTGAACACCGCCCAAGTGTTTTCTGGCTGGTTCCAGACATTTTATTTTGTCTTTACCTCTGAGCACAGTGGATTCCCTCTGGACCTCCTCATGTGAGAAAGTAGCTTGGTTTGCATTTAACCAAAGTTTACAGGCACAACAGAACTTCAAAATGAAAAATAATCTGAAACGTTGATCTTAAGACAGATCAGAAAATTCTCCTTTTTTAATGCAGTAATTCCCAGGGGTAGCTGGTAACTGAGAGACCATGGGGTTGGAAGGTCCTAGCTCCCCACTGCGGATTTGACTGAAGCATGACATGATGTTGCCTTTCCAGCCTGACTTCATTCCCTCTCCCTTGTTAACCTGTATGATTGTCACACGAAATATCACCGTAGCTCTCGGGTCAATTTTCCCATCTTTCGAAACGCTGTGGAAACCCAATGGATCCTGGGTGACAGCTACGGCACGCAACGAATGCTACTGGAGCTGCACCCTGTGCAGCAGGCCAGGGAGGGAAAGCGTGACTGCTCCAAATTTCAGCTGCTGGCCAGGACTATACTGACCGAGACTACAAAGTGAGACAAATTCAAACAAGTTCAGAACACTCCTTCCAGCAACTTTGCTGAGCATTTCTAGCTGATGTCCACCACTCTGGGGGCTGTGCCTACCTATTTCCAAGTCCGCATGTGGATTTCATTGAGTTATTCGCATTTCATTCCTTCTGATGTAAGAAATTTGTATTTTACCTTATTGCTGCTTTGCTTTTTTTTTTTAAAAAAAAGGGTTTGAATTGTGTGTTGGTTGCAAGGACTGGGACTACCACATTTGCAGGAGGAGAAGTCAGCAAGATAATTATCAATCCAATAGTGGAAAGGGCCTTCTTGAAGAAAGGGTATGTTGTGACATGTGGTACATGGACTACAAGAAGAGGCTGATGGATCTGGGCTCGTTCAGTCAGAGGCTAAGAGGGGATTTAATGGCAGCCTACAACTACTTTGAAGGGGACTCATAAAGAAGACAGAGCCAAACTCCTCACGGTAAGGGGCAGGAGGTACAACAGGGACAACAGGCAAATTGCGGCTTGGGAAGTTCAGACTGGACATCTGCAAAAATTTCTTTGCAGAGGCAGGTCACCCAGGGCACTGTTGGTCTGTACTGCGCCAAGCACCGTGTCTCAGTCTCTGTCGGGGCTGTCAGATGCTACCACGCTGGGTGCAGTAAACGTGCCTGGCAGCTGAATGTCCTCTGAGCCAGAAGACGGACCTTCGGTCCCACATCTGGAATCACCCGCTATCTTCTTCTTGCAAAACTAAAAAGGGTGGTGCCAGGCAGGCTGTGCTGTGAGCACACACGCTTAGAGAAAATGAAACACGGAGGAACTTCCAAGCACCTGGAGTCATCCCTCTCCCATCAGCAATGAAGCTGAGTCCTTAACCCACAAATACCACACTAACCTTCATTCGTGGCTGTGCTAAATACTCCTAGAAGCGAAGTGTGGTGATAGGATGACAGCTCAGACGGAAACTCTCCTCTTAAATATCTTTCTGCTTCATCAACTGTGGCCAGCTTCAGAGGGCAGGAAACTCGGCTCCTACGGAGAGGCAGAGAAACACCATGGGCTGCCGCCTTCTTCACTTTTGGGATGAAGAGACAAAAGGGCAACGTCAATCCAGCAATGCCCCAACCCAATATGACCACTGTTATGCCTCACTAGAGACAAAAAATCAGTTGCCTGGGAAGGAGGTATTTAAAAGCCGGGGAGATGTGGTGCTTAGGGCCATGGTTTAGTGGTGGGCTTGGCAGTGCTGGGGTAACGGTTGGACTTGATGATCTTAAGGGTCTTTTCCAACCTTAATGATTCTATGATTCTAAGAACGGACAACGCCTAGTCACAGACAGGTACCTGAGCTGGGTATGGGGAAGAGGGAACAGCCCTGAGCCAAACTGGTTGCTCTGAGAGCCTTGGGATCCCCATTAAAAGTAACAGAAGGAATTCCAGCAAAGAGAGAGGGACAGTGACAACAGATGGATGCACTGTCCAAGAACAGATGTTCCCTGACATTGAAAAGCACAAAAAGTTACTAAGCTAATTTCCAAACCAGGTCTACAATCAGATCTGACATTATTTTTCGAAAAAGGATTTCCATTACACAGGCTGTGAGGTATCCAGAACATCACCCAGCAGCTGTGCCAGTCTCACTGTGCGGGAACTCATTAGCAGACACTTACAGCATGATGAAGCTGGTCAGCTCTTCGGTCCCCCACATGCCATCGTACATCACCGCTCGCTCTCCCTTCTTGTAAATCTTGATGGTAGGAAACTGAGTGACATTCTCCGCTGTGCAAACGCTGGGCCAGTCCCAGCAGTTTACCCGAGAGAGCAAAACCCCCTGCATTCCTAGAGTGGAAAACAAATACGTATAAATAACATGCAAAAAAAAAAAAAAAAAGGTTGAAAAAGAGAGCTTTTTGTGAGCTGCTTTGGATATTATCAGATATATATGTATTAACGCTGCCAGAGCTCCTATTTGCTTTGGCGTGCATCCTACAGGGCTGGATCCTAATGTACTGCATGCACATGGAGCGAGCCCAGGCGGGCTACCGCTGAGAAGTTCCTGGACCACTCCTGGAGTCAAATGCCGCTTTGTGTGAGCAGGTCAAAATCCAGCCCCGAATACACAATTCCTCTGAGTACAGGCTGTCTCCCTCTTGAAATCATTCATGGATATGCCTTACACTTTTGAGCATAATAGTAACTATTTCCAGCCTGTGAATGTATTAAAGACACCCAGCAGGTGTGGATTGATCCAAACTACGGACTACGGAGAGAATAAACTCAGGGAAGCGGTAGGATGCACTTCTCAGAAGGAAATTCCCAGAGACATTCACATCTGGCTGGTTACTCAAAGGAATACCATGAAACCCTGAGGCAACTGTCCAGGAGCATAAAAGGCAGTAAGGAAAGGTACTGGAAATACCTCAGGAATAAGGCCAAGACAAAGAAACGACACAGGCCCTTACTTACAGGAAAGAGGGAAGATAAAGCTTGGCATGGAGGAGGCTGATGCATTCAAGGGTTTTTCATTTATTAAGGTGCCCAGTATTGAAAAGTGTTTGTTCTACCTCAAGCATGGAGTCCAATACACAAGGAGCAGTTAAAGGTCACATAAACACGATAGATGTAATAGAAGCTGGCAGTCTGATGGCATTCACCCTATCCTACCTATGCAAGCTGCTCATCTCCAAGCCACTAGCAGGTACCGTAGGACCTTAAGAAAGAACCTGGGGTCTCACAGGTAAGGGAGAGGGAAAGGGAGGGCACTTGGGAATTACAGAGCAGTCAGTCCAGCTTTGGTTCCTGGTACTAAAAAAGCTTTTTACGGGTCTCACCAAAGTGATAAACTCCAGGGGTTCATAAGCAGTGAAACAAATGAAGGCTGGTTCCCTGCATGGTCTCCATGAGCCCTAGACACAGTGCCTGCAGCTCCAGCATCTCCTTATCAGCCTTTCTTTCATCTGCAGGTTGGGCGATGACCAGCACATGCTGCTGCCGGTCCACGGCTGAGCCTGTGCTAACCAGCTGGCAGGTGAACCATCACTGGCTTCACTAGCCACCACCTCTTGGTTGCCAGCCTCGCCTAACCTGCCTCCTACCTACTTGCAGGCTTGACCAAGGACAGCAGGGCTGCGTACAGTCCTCAGGCCATATGCCATATCTCAGAAATCTTCATGCCTTCCCTAAACTTGTTTGTACAGGGTTCATGAGCTACATGGGAAAGATGGGGTGAAACCTAGAGACAAGCAGACACATGGAGGCAGATCATCACAATGTCCTTCAGAAACCAGGGTCAGGGCAGGTGATGAGGATTTCTCAAGCATACAGCAGATCAAACCAGCCAAGATTTCTTCTCTGTCTGATTCTGATCACTACTTTCACTTGATTCTGATCACTATTTTCATTAAAGGCCTGGCCGATGGAATAAAACACACACATCCAATCTGCAAATGATCCCAAGCCCAGAGGGGCAGAAAGCAATTTGAAGGGCAAAGTGTCACACCAGAGGCATTCTGTATGAGAAGCAGGATGCGCAGGTACCATCAGCACTGCAGAAAAGGGCAAAGCTCATTCTGGGATGAACTCCTGACACCGTTTGCAAGACACAGGAGGAAAACGATGCTCTCCTGTCCCGGTGAGACCTCTGCAGAGCCCAGCAAGTCAGGCTGGGAAAACGTGCTTTTGGAAATGCTTAAGCAGATGAGAGAGAATCTGGAGAAGTTTGGAAGACATGCCTCCTGTGGAAAACCCCAAAGAGCTGTGTTTCTTTTCATTGGAAATTGCCTGGAAGAAAGAAACAATAAAATCTAACAACATGTAAAGTCTGCTCTGGAGGTGACAGTGAGATCACTCTCTGTTGCCAGCTGGGCAAGGACAAGCAACAACCCGTTCCCAGGCCAGGCGGTTTGACCAAATATTAAAACAAGCTACTGAGAACCAAGCACAGCTGAGTCTTTTTGGCAGCGAAGCTGTGGAAAGCTTTTAATCAGAGGTTAGAAATTTGCCGGACAGGGATGGGCAAGGCATCTCCACAGGCAAGGGTGAAGGCAGAGGTGACCTTAGCATGTGTTCCTATCCCCTATCCCTATGTCCTTGGCATCCCACTGGACCATTTTCTGCAACCCTCACTTTAGGTTCTGCTTTGCAGCTCACATGAGGAGTTTGCTGCTGTTCTGCCTTGCGTCAAACTCATGTACAGAAAAAGCAAGCCGCAGCACGGAGCTAAGGGTCTGCAATTCCACTTAGCCGGCCAGGAGTTGTCAAAACACTTCATGAGAGCAGAAATGGTTTGTGTCATTCTCCAGGCTCTGAAATAACATCTCAGATTAAAAGCCTACCCCTGGATTTATTTCACACCTCTGATCCAGTATAGCTGGTTCTCATCATCTGTTACCACATAATCTTGTGTCTTGCCCAACTCCGAAAAATAATGACATGGAAATAGGGCTTTGATGTCTTGTTAAAATCGAGTTGCAAGGCTGTTCTAAGGTCCCTCAAATATGAGTTTTAGTATTTGGATACTACTGCCTTGGGGGATTACGTACCAAAAGTGCTCCAAAGGAGCCCCATCTGGCCTGAGGAACACCTTGTACAGGATGATCACTCTCCCATCCCAATCTGCATCAGATAATTAATTACCGAACGAGCAGCAGTTTCAGGAGTTGAGTAACTCAGCAAAACTGTTCAGCCCTGTGGCCACTGCTGAGCTACTGGATGGGAAAAAAGGTGAAAGAGGAACACAAGATCCTACTGTTCCGTGATTTTAGGTGCTACTAAAACCAGCAACGGCAAGAACCTCTGTCCTAGGAGTCTTATACAACCAGGACAAGACAAATCATCAGTGCTATAGGGAACAAGAAAAATCAAGAATCCCTTAAACTTCTAATCCTTTGGAGGGCAGGACTGGCATTAGAAACAGCTCACTTGAAGAGCTGGTCCAAAGGCTACAACATGAAAGAGAAGTAAATTATGTATGAAGTGCTGCACTTCAAGAGGAAGAATCCAATATGGAATGGGAAACGACTACCTGGAGAGCATCACCCAATGGACACCTAAATCCTTACTTCAGATCTAGGTTCCATGAATATACATTGCTAAATCACACCCGTGATTTTCATGCCTTTGAACTTCAGACCCTTGTCTTTGGAAGTCATTGGTCAGAAGACTCCACGAGCATAGAAGAGGGAAGCAGAACGGTTTTTCATCACAGTATATTGCTCTTCTTAGATACTGGTTTCCTCTCTTCTTTGCAAAAAAGGGCAATGACACACCTAAGAAATGCTCAGCACTGTCTCATCTTCACACCCTCTTCTCTCCCAGGGGTGCTGCTTCCATAAATCCACATCTTGCAAAAGAAAACAAGAGCTGCAGCAGTTAGCCCCGGCGGCAGTGAGAACGGCACGCTTGCGCTGCACGAGCAGAAAATGTGCTCCGTTCGGCAAGACAGAGAAGCTTCTCTTCCTCTCTTGCTAGATTGGATCTCTCAACAAAGGGAAAACACTTGAGGGGCTACAAACTTAATTTTGTGATGATCCGCTGAACATCTGTTACTGGATGATTCACAGGGTCATTCCAGTCCCCAGCCTCCTCCATTCCCTTGCGCTTGATCTCATAGGGCCTATTCTCAGTGCCATTTTGCACAAAGAATTGGCATCAAAAGCGGGACCTGGTTCTGCAACTCAAAATGTGCCTCTAGAGAGGGTGATTCATGCCTCAGACAGCTGGTCTTGGCTTCGCAGCCCTTCGGAAGAAAGCTCCACCCTAGAAAGCAGACAGGAATACCAGCGCTTCTGGTATTCCAGAGCTGAGAGATTGCCCCAAAGCCATACCCCATGTTTTATTCTCAGTCCTGCATAGCTCAAGATCTTCTTCCTGATCCAGACTTTTGTCCCTTGCACTGCTGTATCTTCCCTCATCCTGGCCATAACGGGGACCTCCATCCTTTTAGGTCTTCCAGCTCCCCTGGTAGCCTGCCCGTGACTGAGGCTCCCTCAGCAGCAGAGACGAATAATCTCCAGATCCACTAACGCAGCCATTCTCCGTCCTCTCCGAGAGTGCAGCAGGGAAAGCAGACTGGAGTCATTCCACAGGTCACATCTGGCCTGGGAGTCTTTGGTGGGACCTCACTGATGACAGAGGAAAGGCCCTGACCCGAATCAGTTCCTAATCTCTGTTCAGAATCTGCCTGTGGCTGCTTCCATGTACCGAGATTGTTATCAAATGATTCAGAAAACACATGGTGAAAGCCTGGCTGCGCAGAATCAGCCAAGGTTTGGCCACTGGCTCAGGAAGAGGCAGGATTTCATCCCGACTCTCCCACGTTGCTCCTCTAGCTGGTCTGACTGCTGGGGAGTCTAAAAGAAACCCCAAACCATCAACAACCATAACATCTCTAACAAAAACAACCCTCCCCGAGCTTTCCTGTTTATTCCTGGGATTTCAGTCCAGATCAAAGCTGCTGGTGACTTTCCCTTCATGCAAACTATGAATGCAGAACCACTTTCATCCAAACCACAGCACTGTCCACCGCATTCCCAGGAGGGTTTCTTGTAAGCAACTCCCACTGCATCTGCTTCCCAGAAAGCTGGCTGGGTCCCCTGTAGACTCTAGACGTGTCCCCACTGCTGAGAGCTCAGCCTCAATCCTGCTTGCGCTCTGCAGGACACGGTGCCCAGTCCCAGGAAAGTGCCATCACTAGGAGAAATGAGCCTTGACAAAGAAGAAAAACCAAGAGAAGGTACCAGCCACCTCCAGGGGTGCCAGAACAGCTCTCGCCCAGATCCACACGACTTCCCCACCGTGCTGCAATGAGTTGGGGATGAAGCCGCTTGAGCGTCCCCTGCAGCCAGGGGAAGAAAGAAGCATCTCTGGAAGCGGTTGGTTCAGCCCACGTAGGAATGATGGATGTGCGGAAGAACCCATCTCTCTCCACTAACCATAGAGCGGGATGGGGCTGAAGACCTGAGTGAAGCTGAACTGGGGCTTACACTGCTCAGGAACTGCTCAGGCCCTCTGAAGGATCACTCCCTCTTGCCTCTACTACCAGACTACTCGATGCGTGCTGTCTTTAAGTGTTGCTGATTCTTCACCGTCACATGTTATTTATGGAGTTCTGTGGCCGCCGGCGAGACTTCCCATGTAATTAAGCCAGTCTCCAGGCCCTGAAGGCACCATCATTGAATTCTTCCTCTGACACTGTCCTGCCCCGGTGGATCTGGGCCTGCCCACACCTGTCTGTCACACTTTCCACCAAAGCCACGGCCAATTCCTGCTCCTTTCCAAATCAAGTACTTCCAAGGACAGGAGATCTGACGTGCCACCCAGCACACTGATTTGCTGTGCAGCATGTAGTGCATCTCCTTGGTCTGTGCAGGACTGAGGGGCACAAACAGGACCTTGTTTCTGTGATGCAGGCTACAGTGCCTGCTGTTTGTCCCTCCTCGCTCCAAAGCCCACCCTGTGTCACCCACTGCCACTGGTGCTCTGCCCTGGCCCTCCCCATGCTCTTGGGCATTCATCACATAGTCACTGTGCCCACCAACATCACCATCATCATCACCATCATCCATCACGCAGTCACTGCGCCCACCAACATCACCATCATCATCACCCTGCTGTTTGACGCAGTCA